TATTGGAACCGAAGAAAATTGCGGAAAAATCTAAAAAAGATCTAAAGGTCTTGTTAAAGGCACAATTAAAAGTGCAAGAGCGACATAACATATTTTTTTTCCCCTTCACTCTTACAGTGCATTGATTTTCGACAATGTGATATAAGGAAAACATTTTTGAGATGTTCCAGTAATTATAAAAACCTTGTGAAACTGAACATTTTTCATCACAAAAAGAAAAATCCTTTTTCAAACAGAATATTTCAAAGAGGCTCGAAATCATTGAACTCAATAATCTATAGCTTCCTACAAACTTCTAAATCGGTTCTCGAGTTTTTCAATTCTCGCCAAAACTTAAAATTCTAGGTCAGACCTAGAAAAGTGCAAACACGAAAAACTGAGTTTCAAACATTGTTTTTCTGTTTCAGCTAATTCAAAAACAATAGAACTTGTCGTGGACGTAATATACGATCATTACCTAACATAAAAATGATTATGATGAACCCCTGATAAGAATAATTAATAAAAATCAAAAAGGTTGCAAAATCTCAGTAAAAATGGGAAAGATTTTCCCTTATGGAAACTTCTAGAATGCTATGGGATTTTTTTTTAATTCCTGCCGAAAAAAATTAAATAAAAAACTATAAGCCAGACCTAGAAAAGTGCAGATATGAAAAACGAAGAGTTTTCAGTTTCAGAACGAATTCAGAAGAATCTTCTAGAAGTTTCCAGAAATGGACAACTTTTGGCGATTTTTGAAAAAATCGTTCTTTATAACCGAAAGCTTTCGAAAAATTGGCAAACACCTAATTGAAAATCTCATGAATGTCGAAGCAACTAATATTTCTAGGTAATCTCCGTAAAAGTTCAATTCATAAAACCGAAAAGTCGTATTGAACATCAAATGGCAGTTACGGATCTGTTCAACCTTCTGTACTCATTGAAACCGAAAGTTTTCAAAAAATTTGAAAAAAAAGCAAATCTCACATTCAGTAAAGTCAAAAACTGAAAAACTGATAGTTTTAGATGATTTGACTAAAAGTTAAATACATGAAACCGAAAAGTCGTATTTGTACAAAACCAAATCACTTTGACTCTTCTAAAACAGCAAAATGACATCATCCCACGCACATTTTATGCAAATTGAACTAAATAAAATTGCTGATAAATTTCAAAAATAAAAAAGTCACATGGTGGGATGCTTCTATTCTTTTGCCGGCGCAAATCCAATCAAAATCGGAGTGTGAGCAGAAATTTTATATAGAAAATTGAAAAAAAATAGAGAGAAGAACCGCCTGCATGGGAGGAAAGCAGGCTAAAAATTCAATTTCCCAATTCAATGGGAATTTTTTTCAAAAGATCAAAAAGCGGGGGATTTTTAAAAATTTGTATTTTCAGATGAGATTATTTCGAAAGTATATACATAAAATGGGTGAAAAATAGAGAGAAACGGAGGGATTTATTTCTTTTTTCTCTCTTATCCCTCCACTTTAAAATGTGTTGTGCATTAGTAATTCGAGATTTCGTTTAGCTGTCTGCGTCTCAAAAAATGAAGAGAAACATTCCAAAAAAAATTTTGGAAGGAATTTCTAGGTTCAAAGAATGGGGTTTTAGATTCGATTGCAAGAGAAAATGAATAGGTGAAAAAACAATGAGAGATATTTTGAAGGTCGTCAAACTAACTGCCCCTACTTCCGATTCTCATAAAAATTTCGGAGAAGAAATGATAAGGAGATGAAGGAGGAGAAAAAAGAAGAAGTTGAAGTGATAATGAGAACAAAAATGAATTGAAATGGTTGAGAAGTTTTGAGGAATAATTGAAACTGTTTAGATTGTGAATTTTTGGATTTATTGAGCTGAAGAGTCACCTTAAGTTGTACTTGAAAGATCATTGTCGATTTATGGTGCAGTTCAGACCTGTGCGGCAACAAATTGCCCGATTGCCGAAATCGCCGAAATTGCCGAATATTTGTTGCCGATTTGCCGTTGCCGAAATCGGCAACGAAGAAAAAGTTACCGAATTGCCGTTGCCGATTTCGGCAAAAAAATTTCGGCAACTTCAGCAACTGAAAGTTTTTTTGAATGTAGAGATTTTCACAATTTTTCAATCAAAAAAATGATTTCGAAGTTCGAAAAACCTATTTTGAGCACCATTATCTGTCAAAGTGAATTGAAGAGGAAATGTGCCCCAATAATCATCAAAAATACTTGCATCGGTCCTAAAATGGGCTTCCAATTTGTGATCATAGGAGAAAAATAGATATCATGAGTAGCAACTCATCTAAAAATTATCCAATCTGTCTAAAATCACTAGAGAACGTGTGTCGTGAGTTGCCTAACAAGTTGATTACACTAATTTTTTTTTAAACTCACAATCAGAAAAAGTATTTTCAACCATTGGAATACTATCTATTGTTCAAGATAAGTAGTTAGCATAAAAAATGTGATCCTGAGTTGCCAATTTTTGTAGTTGCTTTGTTAGGAAACGCATGACACACCTTTTCTGTAGTTTTGAGCCTGATCGGAGCATTTTCAGGTGAGTTACGTATCGATTTTACTAAAAAAAGACGCAAACTATTGTTGCCGAAAATTGCCGAAATTTGCCGAATTTGCCGAAATTTTTTTTCGGCAATTGTCGAGTTGCCGAACGTTGCCGAAAAGCATTCGGCAAATTGCCGTGTTGCCGAATTTTCGAAAAATTTTTGTTGCCGCACAGGCCTGGTGCAATTGAAACCGGAGAAATTCATAAAAATCGTTTTAAAAGTATTAAAAGTCTGGATCTTTCCACCTTCCAACGGTTTCCAGAAATAGGCCACTTTTTGGGATATTTCGAAATTTTTGTTTTTTTTTAAGTTTTTCAGAACTATGGACCTTCATAACTTCTTCTCAACATTTTACAACAGTTTTTATTGTTTAAATTGAAAATGATGTCTTCCAATCAAAATTAAAACTGAAAATTTTCATCAGAGCGCGTTTAGAATTCTGGAAAGTTGACAATTTTCAGAAACACCACATTTCCTGATCTTCTAAAGTACTCTAACCTTTCTCCTAACATTTCTAAACTTTTATCTTTCATAAATTATAGATCAAGCGAAAACTTTTTTCAAGGGACCATAAGTCCAAAATAATCCATTGCTCATCAGACAAGTCACGTAGCCCTTCTAGGCTTCCACTCCAATTTCACACGAAATTCCCTTTGGATTAATATTGAACGAAATGCACAAAAAATGGACTTTGCTAGCTAATTCTCCGAAAAAGGAGAAAAGTTTGAGTAAACGTTTAGTGTCTATAAACTGGCAAAAAAATACATAAACATTTTTAGGGATTGGATTTCTTGGCATGGGAAAAATAAAAGTTGGAGGTCCAAAAAGCTCTATTTTTGGACACCGAAATTTTTGTGTGGTCGTAGAAGACATAAAAATGTGTTCTGCAAAAAAGAAGAAGTGGATTTTCTGAGAAAAAATAAATAAAAATTTGTGTGTGTTTGCACTTGAGGGAAGTGAGCAATAAGGAAGTTTGGATGGCTTTCTGGGGAAAAAACGGGAACTCTTGAGAATGAAAAAAGTTGAGAAGCAGGAAGAGAGAAGAGATCGAATTAGAATAATTTATTGGTTTTTTATTCAAAAAAGAATTTTCTGACGTCTTGTCGAATTAAAAAAAGTGGGACCTGGAACATTTTGCGGGCGGCTTCCTGGTCAATTTTCGAGACCTTGCCCGAAAATCGCTACAGTAGTGAACGGAACGTATTTCTGTGAATTTGGTGGGATTTTCTGGACAAAATTTTGATTTCTTGGTATGAAAATGATTGCTAGCATCTTTAGAATCTGTTTTTCATTGAAAAACCGAACTTAATTGCGAAAGTAGCTCGAACGAGACGAACGTCTGAAATATTACGTTTTTGCCGCACGTTTTCGTAGATCAAAAAAAGCTACGCCTTTCAAATTCTCAGGTCCCAAATTTTAAAATTCGACAATAGTGCATCGAAGTAAAATACAGAATGATTAGCTTTTTGGGGAAAGAGGGATTTAAAAAATTGTGGAGCAGTTAAATCTAATTACAATAGTTTTTGGTTTTTTTATTCTCTATGAAAAGCTTGGAAAAGCAGCAAAAAATGTAAGAATCAGGCCAGATAAAAGATTTCTGAAGCTGCAAAAGTTAAGGAAAAAATAAAGCTCTGCAGAATGTTACGTAACGAGTTTTAAAATTCTGAGAAAAATCTGAAGATTTTATCATGATTTTGTGCTGTAAAAAATCGAATTTACACAATATTCTACCTCGGTTTTTTTCACGGAAAGTGTACATAAACCTAGTAGTCAGAGAGCCTGAAAAAAACATCTAGCCAAAAAACGAAAAATGATGATATGCGCTTCAGAAAACAGCAAAAACTACATGTTAGTTTTCAAATTGTCACCACATTTCGAAAAAACCTGAACCTCAAATTTTTGAAATTTTTTTTTCTAAAAGAATTGCAGTTTCAGCTTCTTCTCAAAGGTTCCATATTTGTCGGGTGTGTTAATGAAAAGTTGGAACATGAACTTGATATGTTTGCTTCAAAAAAATTATGCCTCATTCAAGCATATTGTTGGCTTAGTTTCTGGTGATAATCAAAATGTGAGAATGAAACATATTTATTTATTTCAGGAAATTTGAAGTTAAAAGCTTCAAGAATCATATGGAATTCCTATAATACTATTAGAAACACAAAATTCCATGTTTTGAAATTATCTGAAACTGAAAACAACGCTAAAAGCTGAAACAAAGCATGTGATCCTTGACTTTTAGACTTTAACCTAGTGCACAAAAGATAAAACATAAATGTTCAAGTATACATATCAGCAGGTAACGGATCATCATCGTCATCAGCCGAGAATCAGAGCATCTCAAGTTTCAAAAGTAGTTCTCTCTCTTTTCTTTGTTACTCTCATATTTCAAAAGAAAATGTAGGCTGAGCAATAAAAAACTATAAAAAAGAACCTATTCCCTTATCAAAAATGCCCAATAATCTTCTAAAAGTTCCAAGATCATTCTACTTGAAGGGAAGAATTCAAAAACCACCCATTTTGAAGGATACTTGAGGAACCTTGAGGCTCTTCATATCTCTACAAATTAATCTAAAACTGCACAACCCGCAAAGCTTCAACTCTTCAAAAATCACATAAAAAATTTTAAACGAGAAGAATGAAATATAATGTGATGAGTGGGGGGGGGGATGGAAAAAAGAGAGAACTCTTCAAAGTCATGTGTCTGCATTGTTTCAAAATTGAATTTCGGAATTCCACGAACTTTGATTGACGAAAAATCTATGGAGCACTACAAAGGGACCTCTTCAAATAAGAAGAACATTTTACTCTTCTTCGAAAATACGCAACTATATAACAGATATAAATCATTGCGAAACGAAAAAAGCAGCGAAATTCTCTAGAGACTAGGAACACATACGACTTTTCGGAGGAGACTTTTCGACTCAGAACGACCAGAGATACTGACCCGACTGATTGATTAGGTGAAAACGAAAGATGGAGCAGCAAAAGAAGAAGAAAAAGAGGGAATTAGGTGATTGAGATTGATGGAGAGTCTATTCACTTGAGTGTCCAAGTATTTTGAAACATTTTTGTAAAACTTGGAATTTTTTTTTGCTGTTTCAAAATGTCAAAAAATGTCAGTTAAAGAAAACACTTTTGTTGGGTCCGGCAGATACTGTTTTCAGTAATTAAATTTTCAATTCTTCCGACATCTAAAAAAAACGAAATCGCGCCCCAGTAAACGTCAGATTTCAGAAATATTCGCTTCTGAATTATTTGGCTGAGGATCAAACTTTTAAACGTTGTGCGAAAAAATCACGCGTTGCAACTCGCTGATTAAAAATAAATAGATGAAATCCACAACTTCAGTTTTATTTCTTATTTATGACAATTTCCAAAAGTTTACCTGTTTTAGAAAACTCATAAGTTTTCAATCTGTTCAAATCTGCATTCTTGTTTTGCTTTGGATAATAAGAAAAAAAAACTAACCTTTTCAGCACTATTCTTGTTGTTTCTCATATTTTTCTGTCGTAGAAAATAAGCTCGATCTCTATCAGTCGCAATCACCGAGACTCGTTTTGTCGTTGTTGCTCCCGTATTATTAGTGGCTGGAGGAGTTTCCCGTTTCTGAAATTTGATAAAAATTAGTGGCTTTTTTTCAGAATTCGTTTCTCTCTGTGCTGTCAGAAATTTCAGGGTATCTATTTTTTCACTTGTTTTCAGAAGCATGTTTATCAATACATTTCTCACGGTGGGCTGGAATTTCAGTTTGGTATGTGATGGTAAACAATAGATATCACTACTATGCCAATATCGAAATTTCAAACTTGGCTATTTTATAATGGACCGCAGAACAAAATTGATTTCAGCGTTGTTGAATATGTCCACTCTTTTGTTCCAGTTTATTTCGAGAATCAAGAAAATGGGACTCCTACCTAAAATTTAGTAACTTCTGAAAATTGTTCTCTTCCAGTTAGTTTTTCAATTCTAATCAAAACTGAAAATTCTTCATTTTTCGTTTCCGGAAAGTTTCTACAGGCGGTCTATAATATTTAGTTTTGGACTGAATTTAAAAATCAAAAAAAAATTGTTTTTCAAAGTTCAACTACTGAGGCCCTATACAGCTTCACATGCAATTTTACTAATTCAAATAGCACATTTGTACAATCCCAAAAAATCTTAACAATTACTAGTCAGTCACCTAGGAGAGGCTACATTGATTATCAAGGCAGAATCCCAATTTTTAAGTTCCCACCAAAACGGAAAAATCTCAATGTTTCATTTCCGGAAAATATCTCTAGGTGACCTAGAATCTCCAGTTTTGGAATGGACTCAAAAATTCGAAGAAAGCTTTTAAAAAAGCCACTTTGATTCAAATTAGCACAATACAATTTTCCCTGTTTCAGCTAGTTTTGAAAAATATTATAATTTCTAAATAAAACTATTAATCTCCATTCTTTAAGCGCGATGCAGTTTCACATATACTTTTACTGATTCCAATAATAATTTTTGATAATCTGAAATGAAAATCGTAATTCATTTACAGTCATCGGTAGGTTACATTCTCACCTGTTGATTATCAAGGCAGAATCCCAATTTTTGAAGTACACGCATCTAGAAAAGCACTTGTGAATGAGGAGAGACTAGAGAGAAAATTGAGTAAAAAAGAAGAAAGGATCTCCCAGGCAAAAAAGTGTGTCAAATTGTTTTTTATGTCGTGGGAATTCCGGAAAGATGAGAATTTGGATGACAGAGAAAACAGGAGGGGAGTGTAGACAGAAATTATACTGAATGGGGCAAAAAAGAACAGTCTGGGAAGGTGAAGTGATCAACGAATTAGTAGTAGTAAAGGGGTGGGGGTAATCATTTTGGGGAGGTGAAATGGAATATGAAGGTCGGGAGTTCCCTTATGGGATCGAATCAGAAATCAAGGAAAACATTTTTATGGGTGAACTTACTAATTTGAAAAAGGGAGATGGGGCATATATGCCATATTTTCAAAGGTTTCTATTAATATAATTCGTCCTGTTCCCCAAATTTTCATGATTTTTGAAGCTATTTTTCAGTTTCAATTGCACCATACAGTGACAATAAACTTTCAAGACTCAATCGGAACATAGTTACTTTATTACTATCATTAAGACGAACGGTTCATAATGAAGAAAAATCTGAACTATTGGAAATCATAAGAATGAAACATTTCTGAAGTTTGTGATACAGTAAAGTTTTGATTTTTTAGCAACCAACATCTACTGTTTCGATGAGTTATTCCAAAACCAATTCTAATTTTTTAGTACTCCCAACGGATGAAAAAATAATGAAACACTTTTCCAAAAATCCATTTTATCATTTTGGTGAAACTGAAACTGTTCCAATTTTTCTGAATATCAATATGAACATTGTGTTTTTGATTTTACGATTTTTCAACGTATGAGATTTGAGTGAGCAACAGGTGAATATTCAAAACTAACGTCAGACATAGATTCAGAAGAACCGATCTGCTCAGGAACATTTCTTGGAAAAAACTGTATATTCAATTGAAAAAAAAACCGCTGGTTATCAAGAACAGAACAAAATTTTCTGGTACTCATCAGTGAAAAGTGTGCATACTCCTTTTACAGAAGCCTTTTCTGAGAATTTCAGACAACCTGAAATTCATGTTACTGGAAATTCTCTTTTTTTTTCTTCTTTGAAAAAAGAACCCCACGTGAAATTGAACATGACGTTAGTAAATTTTAAAAATTGAGGGTCCAGGTGTTTCATCTAGGTGAAACTATAAATTTTTTGAATCAGCAGTCCTAATCTGAATGAAATTGTTCTTGAAGTTTTCGAGACTAGATATGTTCAAAAGTCCCAACGAACTAAACATATTCATGAAAACAAATCGAAATAGTCCAAATTTTCCTAACGTGATTTCGAAAAGAGATCAAGAAACAGATGGACGTGGCCGGAGATATTTCAAATCAGAAAAATAGATTTTGGCATAGTGGTTATTGTCGCGAATTCAGGTGTCTGAAGAACACCTCTTCACGACTTTTACCCTTTTCTGAATGAATTCTCTTCTTTTTCCCTTCAGTTTACATATTTTATTCACCAATACCGACGCCGCCCAACAACGATGCTATTTGAATTGCCGCCGACGGACTACTGTACCTGCTGATCTAACTCGGTCTCGCCGCGCACCAAGGAAACGCGCCTGATTTTGGGATTATTGGAGCACCCGGGTTTGGAGGACCTGCCGGATCGTTTTAGTTTTTTGCTCCGTCTTGTTTCGATTTCTCCCATTATTATTTTCTAATATTCTGGTGTAAATTTTCTTGTCGGCAGAATGAATCCGGCAACGGATTCTTTCAGGTGTATCGTTGTAGGCATTTATAAGTAATAAATCGGTGTCTTAAATTCTGTGTTTTGTTGTCTTTTTCTCTCTTTAGGTTATCGTGTCTCAAGGGGCCGTACTAATGCTATATGCCTGCAAAATAGTTATCGAACTTCTGAAACAGTTTCTTTTCTGAAAATGAGCAGGAGAGACTAGCAAAATTATCAGGTCATAAGAATTAGAATAAAAGTATAATAAAACAGTACCAGGAAACGCACAACGAAAATATCGAGGTTCTCATCTAGAGTTCTTGAAACGGATTTTTTTCTAGACTTCAAAAAACAGAGCATGAAAAAATCAAAGCATATTAGAGTTGTTTTGACCAACATTGAGATTTTCCAGAGGCTCCAAAATAGTTCAAAACCAGACGTTCCCAAACCGAGGCTTTACAAAACCAGGCCTTTTGCAGCCATGATAATTCGGTACCATTTTTGACTTCGAAAATAGTTTCAGGGTTCTCAAATATTCTTCTAATGATTGAATGCAGCCTTTTGTGTTTTGATTGTGTTTTGAATTCCAGACTGAATTCGCTCCAAAAATGCATATAAACACCCTGAAGCCATTTTTGCCTCAAAATAGGGGCTTTGCGGCGTTTGCGAAATGCCCGGTTTTGAAATGTTTCGGTTTTAAAAAGTCCGGTTTTGAGCCGTTCCAGACACCAAACTATGAATGATTCAAAACTACTTATAACGATTTCAAATTTGGAAAAAGTTTTAGTTATTGGGGAATGGTAATGGGTTGGACAACAGATTAAAACACATCAAACTGTTCAAATGATATTTATGAAACATTTTTTTTGAAATGGGAAGATTTTGAAAAACTTCCGTACTATAGACAAGATCAACAATTTCAAGAAACTCTTAAAATATAGGGAATTTCATCTAGAATTGTTGAAACGGAGGTTTTCTAATTATAGAAAACCTCTTGAATCATAGTAGCATACACCAAATCAATCTTCAGTGAAAGAATCTAGTCCTCCTCCTAGATTCCTAGACTTTGAAAAAATGTAAACGATGAAAAATTAAAAGCATATTACAGACAAAAAATTTTGTGAAAAAAGTCCAGCCTGCTTTTTCTTCTTCCAATACAAAAAATGCTGTATTGCCAACACAAACTTTTTTCTTCGTCTTCTCCTCCTGCTTTTTTTCATTTCATGTCTCTCCTCTTCCCCCATTGATGTTCCATTTTCAGCATGTCTTTGAGAAGAAATTGTTTGTTTTCTATTGTATCTCTAAATCTCTTCGGATCATGTGCTATTTCGTTTTTGGAAAATTCTTGGTGACTGTGTGCTAGGAGGAAGAGCAAAGGAAAAAGAAGGACAAGTATTGGTTCTGGGAATTTGAAACTTTCTGGAAGAAATGGAATTGAAAAAAAGGTTTTGAAGCTAAAAATAGTTTGACTGAAATGTTTATTTAGACGACTGGCGTTAAGTCTCCGGCGTGTCAAACAGCTGGCTGGTGCTCCTTCGGCGCAATTTGATAATTTGAGTGTACCACCTTAACTTTCAACTTTGAGCCCATATATCTCGTTCCCCGCAAAATATATCGAAAAGTGGTTAACTGACATATTATTTATCGTATTATGATAAACCTTTTGCTAGTTGACCATTTCTCAACATATGTCCCAGAAAATGAGATATATGGGCTCAAAATTGACCGGTCCTCAAAATTAATGCAAATCTTCACTGCTTCAGAACAGTTTCAAGTTTTCGCCCCTTCAGAAAATTTTCCAATGCGCCGCCTATTCAGGGAGATATCCCCCTCCCTTCTCTATAAAAAAGTTACTAGATGACCTCCAGAAGAGAAAAAAAAACATGAATATTCAACGATGTGCATCTCCTTAGAAAATAAAAAAGGGAAACACAAACTTGGTAGTAGTGAATGTGGTGTATTTTTATGAGGAGCAGGAGCACACTGGAAATTAGGAATAGGAAAGAGCAAAGATTCAAAATTGAGATTCTAAACATATGTAAAACTTTTTTTTGCTTCAAAATCAAGGTTAGTAAGCGCGCGTATTTTTTACAGTTAATTTGAGTATTTGAATTGGACTTTGAAAAATACTAAAAATTCTCTAAAAAAACGCTACTCGTTTTTCAACCTTTGAGATCAATTATCACAACTTTCATGAGAGATATCAAAAATTTTTTCAACTCATGAAATGTAGGTGATATTATGACAAACATTTTATCAGTTGATATATTTTTAATATCTTTTCTGACAAACTCTTCTGACTTGTGAGAACGGAGATAATTGAGGTTAAGTATATCAGCTAGCTTATCGAGTTGAAACCCATTTTTGAAAACTTTGACATGATCAATCCTCAAACGTGAAAAATTTAATAATCAAAAAAAATTGCGGTAGAGCGCATTCGCAACCTCCTGATACATAAAAATTAAAAAGAATTCGAAAAATTGTGGTAGAGCGCCTTTCCTCCATCAACTACGTGAAAATTTAAAAAACCGAGAAATGAGTAAAAGTGCAAGATGTGACACCTAGCATCTTGGGATCTCTCTCTCTATGAGGAACACAAAGGAATACATTATATACCCATGGACTCACTTACATGACAAAACGAAAGAAAAAACTAGTGGCGAGAAAAGAAATGGAAGAATATGTAGGTGAGCATAAAAATAATATCTTCCTTCATGTTTTCTCTATTTCGGGAGGGTCCCGTATGTGCAATTTTATGGGGTTATCGTGTGTATTCGATTTTACTTGTGTTTTGCTCCATTTTTTTTCGAAAATTTGTTAGATTTTGGTTCCGCTTTTTAGGTTATAGAAAGTGTCGTGAGAAGGTTTTAGGAGAAGCCATTTTTGGAAATATAACAAGTAGTGATTTTCAAAAGTTTTAATTTTGGGAAAAATATTCAGAAAGTGTTAATATTTCTGTTATATTTGTTGAAAAAACACGTTGCTCCCAAAAACTTAACGGTCCATCTTTTGGGAGATTCAAAAGATTCACGTGGCTCACAAAAATTTTTGAAATTTCAGTACTTTGATGTGAAAATTAAAACTTTTGAAATTCACTACTTGTTATATGACTGATTTTGAACTTATTGGGAATGCCATGAGATGTTTTAAATATTATACTGCTACAAAAAAATTAGGAGCAGGGAAGTGAAACACCTGTGGATGTGGCTGAAGACCGCATTACGACAACTACCGTCACCTAAAGATTGGTATCCTTTTGTTTAGATACATTTTCAGATTTTCCACTGTTTCAAATAGATTTATTAATCATAAGGATGAAATTAGAATTGATATCGCATACATTTCAAGACCTCGATTTTATTCATTTCAAATGTGTTGCTCGAAAGTAAGATTCTGGAATTGAATGTTTCTTGTTCATGGTTGTGGAACCTTCACCCTCATACCGCTGTTTCGGAACGAAATTCGGATAAAAATTAAAAATGAAATTTCGAAATTCCGGAAAAAAATCTCGGCACTGACTGTAATGAGTGCAATTCCAAAGCATGGTTTGGTTTAATCAGTTTGGTGGAATAATTAAAAATGACTTCAGAAAAGGAATTCATCAAAAGTTTGTGCAACGAAAAAATTAGAAATTGAAATTCTGGTTCAAGTTTTTCTACTAATGTAGTATCAAAGTTTCATGTGCAGCTAAATGTTAATCCAAGCGAAAATTTTTAGAATGATAAATAACTGATAAAAACTCTAGAATAAAACGGAAGTTCAGATCATTGAACACCTCCCCATTAGAAAACGGAAATTGAAATTCCAGATTTAATTTCAGATGGTCTAGATTGGCCAGCATACTCACAATCGCTTGAAAACTCATTTTCAGCAAACTCCTGTTAGTGGTGAAACAGTAAATATGACGAGAAAAAAAAATATAGGAATCGATAGGAGGAAGAGCAAAAATTGGCTCCAATTTTTCTGATGTTTGTTGTGTTGAGAAATAGGGATGGATGAGCAGAATGAAAAAGAAGGAAAAATGATTATTCGGGAGACGAGCTATTATGGAAATTTTATGGAAAATAAAGAATGTATTTTGTGTGTGGAGGATGGTGGACAAATGGTGTGTCTGGGAAGGGAACTTTTTTTTTTTACTTTTTCAAAATCTTTAACAGTTATTTTTAAGCTCAAAACGAAATACAAAAAAACTGTAAATGCTCGAATAGAACACCTCCGTATACTCACTCTTTGAGCTCAATTATCATGGTTCCTATAAACGATACCAAAGCTCTGCCAACTGATAAATTAGTTATCATAAAATCGCCAACGTTTTGTCAGTTGCCAGGTTTTTGATACCTCATATGAGCCGAGATAATGAAATTCAAAGTGCAAGTATACAGATTTGTATTAGAGTATTTACGCAATTACAATTCAAGTTATGTTTGCTAATGCCCGCGAAACAAGTTTGAAACAAAACCAAATGGACTACTACTCATTACTGATTTAAAGAATTAGCGTAACTTCTGTAATAGAACACCGTCGTATACTTTCAGCTCAACTATCTCGGTTCCCGTGACGAATATCAAAATTTGTTAACTGCTAAAATATTTGTTGTGACATCACTAACATTCCATTAATTGACAGGTTTTTGGTATCTTTTATAGGGACCGAGATAATTGGGCTTCAAGTGAAACTAGGCCTATTAGAGAATTAACGGTGTCCCAATTATCATCCGTCCCAGCACCGTACTAATTAATTTTTGTAACTTTGGTAGCTCCATGGAACAGCAATACTCACCTCCATCAAATCCGGCAAACTTCCATTCTCTCCTTTTCCCCGTCCACGTAACGCAATTGACTGCAAATGCACTGGATCCTGATCTCGACAGGTTCCGGATCCATGTTGAAGTGAGAATCGACGACGTGCCGAATCAATCGACGCAGCTATTCGTCCTCTCCGTTTAGTTGGTCCACTGCTGCTCGCCGAGCCGGGTGCAGAGGATGATGAAGAGCCACCAGTGTTCTCGACATCGATGGAGAATCGGCGAAGGAATGAGGTCACGGACATGTTGTTGAAAGACTGTGGAGGAGATAGATGGGTCTGAAATTATAGATTTTTTTTAAATGGGGACCAAGCATTATTATTTCAGCCAAATGTGAAGTAAATATAAAATTTCACATCGCAACACAAAAAAAAGTTTCAAAATTCCAAAAAATCGAAAAGTCGCGAAAGGAGGAAAAGTTAATTTTGATCCATTTTTGGAAGCTTCTAGAAGAGCCGATTTTTTTAAAATTCCCGCCAAAACAGAATTCTAGGTCAGCTCTAGAAATGTGTCGGAATTTAGAGTTTTCAGTCTTGGCGAGAATCTCAAAAAAGATTCCAGAAATGACCGAGAACTGATTTTGAGATTTACCCTATTTTTCAGCGATATGTAAAGGTTTTGCGGTTTTTTCACTCCTTGATAAGAGTAACACTAAATTTAGAGAAAAAGAAGGGAAATATAAGAGTCTTGAAACGGAAACTTTTAGAAATTGTGTCAAACTAGGATAGACAGATGTATGTAAAAAGTGAAAAAAAGGAACTGCAAAGCTTGAGCCAATTTTTCTAGTTTCCTGGGAAAGATATCAAAAATTGGTCAATTGAAAAACATTAATCATAATCTTAGCGATGATTTTTTAGTTGACAGGTTTTTGATATCTCTTACAGGAACCGAGATAAATTGCGATAAAGTTAGAATGACGCAGTTGAAATGAGTGATACTTCAATCAGGAAGGGAAAACTAGTCTTTGGAGTTTTCAGTGGATTTCCGAGTTTGTAAAAACCATAAAAATGCAGAAGCCTCGCCAAAACATAGTTAAAATGTGATGTAACTGTAAAAGCCGAATGTTTGATTAAATAAACGAGTTGTAAATGCAACGGTTGTCGCTTTCCTTCTTTCATTGAAACAATGACTTTGAAACAGAATTAATTTTTCTAGAATTTGTTATCAAGAAAAGTATGACAAAATCTGCATTATATACATCTCGTTGAGATTCATTCGTGCATAAACTTAAAAGAAAAGTGTCTAAAAAACTGAGAAAAAATGCGGCACACAGGAAACGAATCACGAGGAATGGAGCAATGGAACAGCAACGTTTAGGTCACGCCCCCTTTAAGCGGAGCATTCCTTGATGACGATGTGTAGAAAGAGAAGGAGAAGAGTTGAAAGACGGGGAAAAACATTCAAATGGAGGAAAAAAGAGTGAAGACTATAGAGAGAGAGAGAGAAAGAACTATTCTAATGACTGGTCTTACTTTTTCTAATGAGGGGTGTTTGGAGCAGAATGGAAAAAAAAACTATTTCTAGAAAGTTTCTGAAGTTCAGCAATAAATCGATTAACCAGAATTGAAACTCGGCCGCAGGGAGTAGTGTTGAATTTCAAAAATAAATATGTTTAAGGAGTAGTTGTAACAGTAAGTTAAGTTTTTACCTAATTCTTCGTACACGTTGCCTATTGGAAAATTTTTTTATAAAGTTTGACACACTCCAAAAAGGCAGGAAGACAAAGGAATGTCATATTTTGAAATATAGCTAAATTAGCGGTCCAAAAATTTGAACAAAGAAGTTTCAAATTTTGATGTAAAGTTTTTAAGGGAGAAGGAAGTCAGTCTGTTCACTATCAGAAAATATCACAGAACGAATTTTTATTTCATCCAACACATTTAGTTTACCATACATCGATAAGGTCATATCAATCTAGAAGTTGAAGGTTTTAGAGCGAAAACTACCGTAACCCAGAAATATGTTCAATTCTCGGATTTTTCTCGATTTTCACTGATTTTCGATCATTTCTTTGTGATTTCCCCAGAGCAGGTCGCAAATTAAAATTGTTATATAGTGAACCAAAATAAGCGAAAATCGAAAATAAAAATCCGAAAAAAACTTTCCGAATACGGTAGATTTTGAAAAATGTTAAATTTAGAGTTATCTTTACATCATCATGATTTTTTTTATTTCAAAAAACGAGTTTCTAGGTTATCCACTGTTTACGTCAACGTATTCTAAAAAATATCATCACTATCTGAAACAGAAACGAATAACAAAGGAAGAAGCCATAAATTTCAAAAAATGAATCAAACTGATTTCATGGGAAACAAAATTTCATGTCCTAATTTTCTGTTTCAGCTATCCTATATTAGAGGATCTTGAGAATTAATTGATTAGTAGTGCGCTTTAAAGGTGAGGGGACAAGAGATTTTTTTTTCGTAGGTTTTTTGGAGTTAGGGTATGCATTCTACCATGACGGTGTACAACGCTTAATGTCACTTTGCGTACAGCTGTCGTCCTCGTCTGTATGTATGCAATCGGGCGGCCGCTTTCTCTTTGCCCGCGTGGCTCAGAGAGAGTCGGTAGCGGCTCCGCACCCTCAATCCTCGCTCCGGCAAGTTCAACTCCTCGAGGGGCATATTTAAGAGGAATTTCGAGAAAATTATTTTTTCAATTCTCCCCACCTTTAAAGGAGAAAGCATTTTTTTTTTGAAAATTAAAAAGCAGGCGCATCCTTTTTCAATGAAACAATTTTAATTGTATTTTTTGTACAGAAACTACTTGATAACCATGTATAGTTTCCCCATAACTATTTTTCAAAAATTCGACCCTGTCCCGGGATAATTAGGCAGTTTTGATCTTTTGATTTTTCTCTGTTATTGTTTTTATTGATGCAAAACTGTTTTGTTGGATAGATGCTGCATAAAGTGGCTCAAATTCTAATAATTTCAGTTATTTTGCACAAGAAATATCACTTTTTGTATACTGTAAAACTGGGAGCCTTACCGCGAGGAGGGTTTTTGAATTTTGAAACAACTCCGAAATTTAAGATAGAAGCAATTCAATTATTCAATTATACGAAGCAGTAATTAAAGTTCCAGTACGTATAATTTTGTATCTTTAGAAACAGGAAAATTTGTTCTTTTGACAGCTATTGATCGTTTTCAAAACATAGAATTGGGATATGTATTTTTAGAGAAAATTAAAAAGTAGTAGTCAAGAATATACCAGTAATTTTCAAAAGCTTTTATTGCGAAAACAGTAATTTTCAGATTCATTCTAGAATTAGGAAAAGATTTTAGAAGAAGTGCACTTGATTAGTCGTAACTGAAAAATAGGACTAACAGAAAAAAAAATCTAATAGTGCACTAATTTTTCAAACCGATTTTTATGAATTCGAAAAGTTTTTATGAAATATCAAATGAACTTTTTTTCTGTACTTGTTAGATTTCAGTAACGGAAAAGCTTTCCTTTGCTGGTTCGGATTAAGAAACCAACAATCTTCAGATGTATTCTGGAACTTTCGAAACAGGGGAATGTTGTATTCATTTAATTAGTCGCAATTAAAATAGGTAATTATTTCATAAAACAGAAAAAATTTAATTATTTCACAAAACAGAAAATATGTGATAGAAGGGTTTCCCAGATATTTTAGCAATTTAACGGATTTGAAACGAGAGATATAAAATCAACTATTGTTTTCTGTCCTTCTTAAGTTTCTATGATAGAAAAGTTTTGAATTAATTTTAAAATCTTCGCATGCATCTTTTCAGAAGTATAGTAATTTCGAATATACCCATCATTTTCAAAAGTTTTATTACGAAATCAGTGACAATCTAGAACTTTCGAAACAGGTAAATATTGTTGTTCTGAAGAAAATTTTTTGTTTAATTTGTCGCAATTGAAATATGGGACGATTTTATCGATTTTAAGAAACAGAAAATCAAAAATTGTACAGTTTTCCAGTATTTCGGCCACTTTCGAAAAAATTTATCATGGAATGGACTGTATCAAATTAGGGCTATTTTCTATAATTATTAAGAGTTTTGTAACTTCAAGAGAAAAAGGATGAGAAGCCAGAAGAGGAAAAGGGCGCTAAAAGATGTCGTGCGAACCACTCATCTTCTTCGTTTCTTCCTAAATACCTCCATAGATAGGAAACGGGACACGGATTAAAGCAAGAAGAAGTGGACATATAGACACATGAGAAGAGAGGATAATGAAGAGCAATGACAACACGGGAAAAATGAAAAACGAAGAAGTAGAGGGAGAAGTGTGAGCAACCACACGTCTTCTTTTTCTTTCTCTCCAGAGACGGCGCTTCCTCCGGTGTGTCTGCGCACTCCACGATTTGTTTACTCTTTTGGAAAAGTCTGGAAATGAAGGGAAAGAGAAAAGAAGAAGTGTGGGGTGAAAAAAGGTAAATAGGCTTCATTTTTAGTTGGAATAGATGAGAGATGATGGCATAGAATAGAAGAGGAGAGGAGAATTGTTTTATTCTGGAGGAAGAATAGGGGAAGGAGCAGGAAAAAGGGAATAATGGAAGAATTTTAGAATTTTGAGAAATCAATTTTTTGCTGTTTCAAAATCAGGGTTTTATGAGTTCCTTTAAGTCAAGGTAATGGTTGAGATCCTCAAGTTTAAATAATCGAATTTTCAAAACTAAAATACACTAGTACGCACGGTATTTCAAAGCAGCGGGTCGAAAGTCGCGCCCCAGAAAACTTTTCGGCAGGACGAAATTGAATAATTTCAAAGTTGACGTGGATTTGACCTAATTAATTTCAATCAACGGATTGCAACTCACGATTTTTTTGCTCAACGTTTAAAAGTTTGATCCTCAGCCAACGAAATTTGACACGTTGCGCAGTGATTTTTCACGTTCGCTGGGGCGCGTTTTCCGACCAGACTCTTTGAAATAGCGTGGGTGCGGGTTCTCTGAACCTTCAACTTTGTGCCTGTTGATCTCGGTTCCTGTGAACGACATCAAAAAGTAATCAACGGACATAACATTTTTAGTATTAAAATGAACATTTTTTCATTTGACCACTTTTTGATATTTGTCACAGGAATCGAAATTGATGAGCTCAAAATTACGGTGTGGGAGATATCATAGGATTTACAGTAGTAATTTTTTTATGATCAAATGTTTACTGTTTCATCTCATTTTGAAATCTAGATTTGTTTCTAATTCTATAATGTGACAATAGGGGGAACATCTGATCCGGTATAGAATTGCAACTTTTCAAAAAGTTTCAAAAAATTTTGGAAGGTTTCAAAAAGAAAAATTGATTGGTTGGGCTTGGAATTGAAGACTTACTGAAAATTGTTAGTTTCCTACAATTCTTACGATTCCTAAAATTAGGTGACGAGATTTCCGAAAAAAGAAAGCTAGGAACCAAATTTTACAAGTGTAGAACTGAAAGTATCAATTTTACAGTTTCAAGGTTCTCATAATTTTAAGGTCCATTTCTTTCAGTCGTTATGTCACAGTATCCGAATCTAATCTCTAACAGAAGTCTATTACAGAATTGTCATATTTCTGATTCTCTAAAAATCTGAAAATGCGAAAACTTTTACTGTTTTATAACATTTGTTTAACTCCTACAAAACTGAAAAAATTGTTTCCTTGTACCGTAAAACCTGTATTAGAAGGGCCCCTTAAATTGAAGAGACCCTCTAATTGAAGTGCCCCCTCGAAACCTCACGAAAAATAGAAGTGCTCTCTCTATTTGAAGGGCTCCTCTAATTGAAGTGCCCCTTTGACTAACCCCTCTGATTTTCAGCCGTTTTTTTTCCGTAGTTTTGATTGAATCATTGTCTAATTTTTGAAAAACTGGCACATGAGAATTTTTCATTCATGAGAACATTTGAATGCCGTCGCTATATTACAGATTTTCGTCTCGTTCGAGCGATTTTCGTTTGGATTTTCAATTTGAAAAAGTTCTAGAAATTCCAGCGAATTTTACCAAGAAACCTGAATTTTATTCAGAAAATCCAACTACATTGAGAAAAATTAATTTCGTTCGATATAATATGGAATTTGAGGGCGGGGCCTCGTAAATCGGTACGAACAGCGCTCAGGTGCCAGTTTTTAAAAATTTGACAATATTAGAAATTTTGTTTTTATGGAGAAATTGTAATGGATTCTGAGAAGAAAAACGAAATTTTACTGAAAAATGATGCCCCTCCAATAGAAATTCCATTCTCTGCGGTCCCACGAAAAATACAAGTGTATCATATTGTGAAACATATCATATTGTGAAACTTTTCACAAAGTTTTAGGTGAATTCTTGCAATCTAAAACCTGAGATTCCGATTCACATTTTATGAAAAAAGTCTATGTTTAATCAAGTTAACACAATCAATTTTCTGTTTCAGCTAGTTCTGAAAAAAATGGAAATTTCATGGCAAAAGTATTATTCACAATAATGGGTACACTAATACAAAAAATGGGAGCTGTGGAAGAGAAACGAAGGTGGCCGTGGCCGAAGGTCCCACAACGACAACTACCGTAACCTGACAATATTTTTATTTTCCGGATTTATTCTTGATTATTTTTTCCTGTTTCAACTACCTATATTAGTCCCAAAGATGAAATTAACATTGATAAAGAGTCTATTACTGACGAGCTCCATCGTATTATTTAATTGTTTGCCCAAAGGAATAGTTACGGAATCATTCTGCTCTTCAAACTTAATATTTTTCTGATAATTCTGAAACTGTAATTCTTTTTCTGTTTCGAACTCTAATTTTCAGATAGATTTTTTTCTTGCTGACGATATGTATTACGGAAATATAACTATTAACTTTCTGCTTTTACCAAAAGTTCATTTTCCTAATGTCTATCTCAAATTAAACAAAAAAGAGAAAAAGGAAGAATTGTAATTGAAAGGGATAATGAGAAAACGGCGGCAGAAAGCGATCCAATATTGCAAAAATTGGATGAGCAGCACGTTGAGCAACTCGTGAATCGGTGACCCATATCGCTGATTTCCACACATCCCGGTTGACAAATTCCACTGCATGATCTTTCGAACATGTAGATGTTGGATGGAGAATCGGATGTGTAAAGGGACCATACCTGGAAATTCGTTTTTGGAAAAATCCTTAAATTTTTTTTTGGAAACTGGTTTGTCCTACCTACTGACTTTTACAAAAGCTGTCAAATTTTTGAACTAGCTGAAACAGAATAAAGTGGGCGTCCGCTAATTCCAAAAGTTTTGAGATTTTTATATCAATCGATCCAGAATTTTGGGTGGGGAAGAAAACTCTCTTGGAGGATAGTCCGAAAATCACTCGTTCTTAAGATATATGTCAAAAACACGTCAAAAAAATCAACGTAGAGGGTGCAGATTAGGAAGAATAATAGGGAAAATAATTCAAGTTACTTTTGACAAAATCTACATAAACGCTCAATAGAAGCCCCTTAATTTTGATCTAATTCAATTCCTGTATTATCCTGGCACAAAAATGAGACCACAACGAAAACTACCGTAACCGACAAATTTTTTAAAGAGTTATTACCTCGATTTTCACTGATTTTCCTCAGTTTTTTTGTTATTCCCCAAGCAAGTCAAAAATAAAACGTTTGCTAGTTGAAAATTAAATTACCTGAAAATGCACGAAAATCGGAAAAATGAAGCCTGAAAATGAAAATATTTTAAGGTTACGGTAGTTGTCGCTGCGGGACCTTCGGCCACGGGCTCCAGCGTTTCTCTTCCACAGCTCCCATTTTTTGTATTAGTGTACACATTATTGTGAATAATACTTTTGCCATGAAATTTCCATTTTTTCAGAATTAGCTGAAACAGAAAATTTTCTTCCACCATTCAGATTTTTGCACCAGTAAAATTATATTTTATCAAAAAATCTAAACGTTCTGTTTTTTTCTGAAATTTAACTGTTTTTTAAATAAATTTTGATGTTTTTTGAACTTTTTTATACTATTCTTCCTTTCTAGCATGAAAAAAAAATTTTCGTTTATCATTTCCATTAACTAAATTTCTTCATAAATATGATGATGAGATTCCTGTTTTTATGAGATTGATAGAATCCATTAAAAAAACTAAAAATCTCGTCTCGAAAACAACTTCTTCTCGCTCAAGCTTCATCCCATTTTCTTCCATTAAAGGTGGTGTGCGGTGAAAAGTTTTATTGCTTTATCTTGTGCAGAAATCCATGTAGATTCCCATAAAAACAAAGAAAAAATTCAAAAAAATGCCTTCATTGAGAAAAACGGCATCGAAAAGTCAAAGTGGGATCCGGTGACCTAGCGGCCAGGTGTGAGTTTTCTAGGCCAACTGCCGGTAAAAGCTCGCGAAATTCGAATTTTTATGGATTTTTTGTGTTTTCTCTGATTTTTTTCAGGTTTTTTCATACACCTGGGAGGAAATTAACAAAAAAATTTTGAAATCTTTAAAAGACATCAGAGAAAACCAATAGAAATTCGAGTTTCGCGCGCTTTTACCGGCAGTTGGCCTAGAAAACTCACACCTGGCCGCTAGGCCACCGGTTCCCACTTTGACTTTTCGATGCCGTTTTTCTCAATGAAGGAATTTTTTTCGAATTTTTTCTTTATTTTTATGGGGATCTACTTGGATTTCTGCACAAAATAAAGCAGTAAAATTTTCACCGCACACCACCTTTAATGTGTTTTTTTTCTGACCTGACACTCTCCCTTCTCACAATCGACCCATCCGGCACTTCGAGCATTCTGGAAGCATGTCGAATTGGTCGTTTCGCCGTAACACGAATAGCAAAGATGGGCGCGGGACGATAAAAATAGAGAAAATAGGAGAAGAAGAAGCAGCAGAAGACGTTGTTGGGTCATCGGAATCTGAATATACTGGGGACCGCAAAAGGGAAGGATAAAAGGGGGCTCAATAGACACAAATTGGAATGGACACATGGATAAAGAAACTAACGATTTTTATATATAAAAGTAGTCTCGAATTTTTAACAAAAGAAACTACAAACTAGAAAACAAGTAACACAAAAATCGAGCAAAAAAGTTAAGATCTCTTTCCAGGCCAGTGTTTTCTGTGGAACGTGTCATCGGCATAATCCTGGGTTGGAAGACGTTTCATCTGGCGATACGGTTGTTGTCCGAGATCCGGTTGGGGGAAGAGTTTTTGGATTTTGTTGAATTGAGCACTGGTCATTGATTGTTTACCGACGGTGCCCGTTTCTCCGAGAGTTCCCTGGAAAATTGGATTTTGATAAAAAAGAATTGGAAATTTTAGAGATTTCACACTGAGGATAGCATGTTAAGCATACTTGCGACCGGGCCTTTGCCCGGCCTTCGCGGGACTTCAGAATCAATATATTGAGACTAGCTAAATTAGATATGATAGAACTCTGCGAGTTTTACAAAGTGACACAATGTGGAGAACTGTGTCTTGTCTATGAATAAAGTTAGACAAAAAACAGAGGTCCGGCCCAGCCATTTTATGACTTGTAACTTTGTTCATAGACAAGGAGGGTACGATGAATTCGAACTTTCCCGTAATCGAACTGTCCCGAAATCGAACTCATTCGAATTAGAAATGTCCCTTTTTCGAACACGCCCAGAACAGAACAATAACAGAATCGAACTGCTACAAATTCGAACTGTACCGGATTGGAACTCTGTTAGCAACAGGGCGCGCTTGCTTTTTTTATTATTTTTGTCAACAAATTTTGCATGTTTTCTCCAGAAAAGAACTTTTTCACTTATTTTGGATATTTTGCGGATTTCTCTTCCCGTTTCGAGAATATAAACTTTTACAGAAAATGGCTCCTCGTAAAAACAAGCCGATCGTCCAAGTTCAAGGATGCGATTCAAAAAAATGAACCAAAATGGAACAGAGCTTTTTTACTGTGTCGAGCGGTAAAAAATTGCAGCATTAAATACTATAAAACAATATTTTTCCAGAGAAAGACAAGCTCGATGTGATGCAGCTTATCATTTCGACAGAATGAACAACACGTTCACTGTTAAAAAGGAACATGTGAGACACGACGAGGATTTTGTCAGAAGTGAAGTTAGTATCAATCTATAGAATGTAACAGAATAGTCGTCACAGCAAACGATTTTTTTTCAGGCATTCCTCGTGCGCCAGGAATTGAAAAAAATGTGCGAATGATGGAAAAATGAAGTGGTTGATGAGGCTCGAGCCAAGTTCTCTCCAGTTGCTTCAGTTGCTTGCGGTTAGTACACAACAAAGTGTCTTATAAACAATTACATATTTTTAATAGGATCCTATGACGCAAAGCGAAAGTGATGAAAAAAATCTCAAAAATCACTTCTCGTTTGTTCCTGGAAACTTCTGGAATGTTCTCGAATCTTTTTTTGAATACCCGCCAAAAATGAAAAATCCAAAAATTAGCGATTTTTATTAGATTTGTGCCGAATTTTTAGACCTTTCTAGGTTTTTTAGCTATTTTGCAAGATTCTTTCACGATTCTTCCGGTTTTTTTTTTGGAATTTGATGGAACGGTGTTCGTGAAGTTTACTGTAGACTACTGTAGAAAACGAATTTCCTTTTGTAGTTTTTTTTTCAAACACAATCACGTCAGAAAAAAACCACAAAATAGAAAGCTTTCTACAGTAATCTTCGCAAACACCATCCCGTCAAATTTCATTTGTTGTTTCACTCACAGTTAGAATTCAATGAAATTTTATAATTCAGACATTTTTTTGAATTTTTTTTAAAGTTTGTTCTGTCAACATCTGATTGGGTGTACAAACCTTTCTAGCCGCTTCCCGATAGGCGGCAGCTTCTTCAGCTCCCTTATGAACACAATCCATGTAAAGTGTGTGCTGCTTGGCGCATGGAACATCGTCGAACTCCCACTTCTTCAGACATCCAAACAGTGCCTGGAGTTCTTGTGTGCATGAGGAGCCTGGAAATGAAAAAAATTGAGCGAAATTGGCTTTTTCGAGCTAGTTTCTCTGTTTAAAACAAATTTTCACCGTTTTCAAGCTATTTCAGTCATAGCTATGTTTTTTTTTCGAATTCCAACTTTTTTTGGGACTTTGCAAACCTATAAAACTGTTTAAATTCAAAAACCCACTGGCTGCTCTTGGCTTTTGTCCGGCTTGAACGCGATTTTTCGACGCCAACGGTAGAATTTCGGAGAACACTGTCACCTTCGGGTAAATCGATTTTCCACGAGCCAGCGCTTTCTCTTTGAGAACAGGCGATGAGAACATCATCCTGAGAATCTGAAAATTTGAAAATTTGACTCAGAAATTGAGAAAATCTAGCTGAATAAAAGGAGAAAGTGGTGCAAAAAGTCGCTAAACATTCCAGGGTCTTGTCGGAGAGGACTACACTACAAGGTGCAGTGGGGCGAACTTGCTACTTCAGCATTTTTCGTTCAGATTGTTCTATTTATTTTTTCGTAAGAATACTCTGCTTTCAAATTGTTCTTTGCATAAATTTCCCAGCATAAATTACTATAAATTTTCAAAATATTTTCAGAATGACCGAAGAAGTCGTCGCACCAGCCGCTCGCGCGCCGATGACAGCCGAAGAGCGTCGACAACGTCGTCTTGCGAAAATTCTCGGGAATCCCGAAGAGCGAATCAATCGAATTCTGAATAACGGAGGTGATGAGAACGGAAAGCGTCACGCGCCAGCGATTGAAGGTGGCGAGGGATATAATTTGTTTCCAAGTGAGTTTGAAGCTAGAAATTACAAGTTTTAAAACTTCTAAATTTCCAGAACCTTCTGAAAACAATACGCTCACCCCAGCCACCAACGAAATGGACACAATGCTCAATTTCCACAATTTCGCGAATGGTTTGCCTCCAGAGTTCGCTCAATTCGCTCAATTCACAGGCGGCTCCGGAATCCACGTCATCAATCCTAATCCAGTGCCTCAAGGACCTCCGGTAAAAGGAATAAACGTTCCATTGGTCGCAGTAACCCTCGGATTGCTCTCTCGAGCCATCATGCTTTTCTCCGGACCCATAAACATCGGAATACTCTGGGCAATCTTCTACGTGACACTTGTGGCTCGCTACTCGGCTGCCGGACTCAATAATCAGACGAGAAACGAGCTAGCTGCTGTTTTTCAAGCAATGGGATCAGGGAATGTGCTAGAGAAAATTAGTGAGTGACACTAGAAAATTTAGTGAAAATTTCGGAATTTTCAGTGAACGCCGGCTTCAAAATCATCGAATTCATCCAGACGACAGTGACGTTTGCCGCCAGCTTCCTGCTCGCTCATATGATACTGGAACTCTATGATTTTTCGTCGGATTATCAACTTGTTTTTTAAATATCGCTTCTCTTTTTAATTAATTGTTTCCTATTACTTCTCGTGTTACATTCTGTTTCTCTTCTTCTCCATGTCCTACAATTTTTCTGTACATACATTTTATTTATTGTCTTCTAATAGTAAATCCAAAGATGTTCGAAATGACATTTTCGGAAGTTCGAAGAATACAAATTTTGAAATTTCTGAATTCCCCATCACAAAAAAGCGGAAAATTGACAAACAAATCTCGAAAACGCAAAGAAAAGTAATTCCGCTCGAGACCCGCAATACACGCTCTCCCACAGAACTATTCCGAACTGCAAATTAATTTTTGATCTACAGAAAAAAGTTTGGCGCGATCACAATTGCCGGTCTAAAACCATAATTTCAGAATTTTTTATCTGATTTTGTGGAGTTCCAAGATGATTCAAATGATTCTTAAAAAATTAATTAGTGGTTATAGATTCATGTATGGTCGTTTTCCGGAAGAAAAAATGTCAAAAATGGTCATTTTTGAAAGTTTTTTACAGAAAAAATCTATCTCCTCTTTCAGTTTTTGACATTTCTAGGAGTTCTATAGCTCAAAAAAACCGCAATTATTTTCTCTACATTTTCTATGGACGAATTTTCAATTCGTCTGATAAAACTTTTTTTATAATCAAAAAACAACTAAAAATGCTATTTTGTGCAATTTCATGAGGTTTTTGAAATATAAAAAAAGTTTTATCAGACAAATTGAAAAT